TGGATTTCATGTCATCTTTGCTGGGATTGTATCGTAAAATTCGACCCTTTTTTGTATTATTATGCGTATAAAGAAAAAAGACTGGATTTATAACTTTTGGTGAAAGTGGTAAATGATTGACTCCCTGTCCAGTAAACTGTATTCCCGCATAACATCCGATGTGAGGGAAACATGTTTTGCCCAATTTCTCTAATTTAGATTTTCATAAACATTAAGGTTATTCAAATATAAGCACAACAAATGTGAGTAGATGGTAAAACAAATGACACGTTTAATAACTATAATTTACATACTAATTGTGTGAATGGGTACCATGGCTAAAGCACCTCGCACCAATGTGTTATGTCTGTCTCCCTTATCAAAAGCCTGTAACATCTGATCATTGTCTTCGTTCTCGTTAACAATTTTATGCGTTTTTCCCAATAATTTTGAATAATTGCTATAAATTTGTTCGTTGTATTCATCGTAAACTTTTAGCTCGTCTTCAGTTAATTCCGGAACCGCTTTTAATTTACAACAAACCTGTGCTATAGATATACAATATATCACTAGAAATAGATATTTCATTATTGGTATATCGATGTAAACATTTCGACGATGTTATTGTAGACATGTTTTAAATAAGCACTTATAGCAGTTGTTTCTAAGCAATCATTTTATGTAATAAATTAATATACTCTACATTACATTTAATTGAAGTTTAAACTCATTCCATTTATTTAATATTTAATTAATTAAATTAATAATGTCTAATTAATTTTTCAATTTCCAAGAAATGGTTCAATGGATTATAAGTTTATTAATAGATTAATTTTGTTATTATTTATAGGATTTTGTATATCAATGGTGACATTCAAAGTATTTACATTTTTAAGAAAAATAAAACTGATTTAAGACAGAAAACGTGTAATTGAAAAGTTGCCAAATTAGAGGATTGTTTGTATTAAATGTCTATTTTAACAAATATTTCACTCAATGATAATGAGTGTAAATGAGAAGATCGGGTCTTTAAATAGCACTCAATGAAATGCATTGAAAGTTAATGAGAGTTTGGAAACACATCCCAACCCACAGTTACCACTAATAATAATAATAATAGTAATTACATTAACGTCATGACTGACACACAAATACAAGACACAAACACAGAATATTCTTCAGCGCATATATCCATAAACTGGTATAAAAGTGTTGTCAAAGTCTTATATATAACTAAACTTGAAAATTAATTTTTATCATTCAATTCAAGTACTCGTCCTTTGGTTTCAGTGCATTTCACACATCACTTTACTTCACAAGTAAATTGTAAGTCTTTTTGCAAATGATTTAAAAAGTAAAACGTTAATTTGAACTGAATTTGGTATAATTAATATATAGAATTGATATACGTATAATATACTAAATATATTAAATCATAACTATTACTTATAATATACTAAATAAACAGATTATAATGACTACTGCAAACGTATTGATCAGTCGACCGAACCATTACTATAGCGATCACATATGTGTGTATCCGGACTACGCGGACGGTTGGTATATAAGAAAAGCAAAGATCGCGCCCAACAATAACGCGAGGGATGTGTTGATTGACCTGAAGATGAGAACACTTGCGTTGGACGGACAGCGAGACTGCGAACGAAGTCTGTATTTACCGCTTCAGACCGGCTATAAGACTGATATGGTATGGGAGGGACCGGTCGAGTATAAGACACATAAACCAAAGCACCAGCACTTGTATAATAAGTATAGATAAATATTTTTAAAACTCGTCTGAAATTAAGTAAAAGTTACATTGTTTGTTTTTTGGAATATTTATAAAATATTTATGATTAAAAATAAACTGTTTTATCAAAAAAATCTCAATTTTTATTTATTTATTTAAGAAGTAATAATTACTATCTATTATAATTATTATCTATACCTTAATGAAAATAAAGTAAACATGAATTGATTGCAATGCATGAAAATAGTATTAATAATGTTTTGAATTAAACTATTCAAAATACTAAAAAGAGAACTGTTAAATTCCCGAAATGTAAAATTTGTATTAAAATCAACATTAAATAAATTTGTAATTTAATTATTTAAGTTAAAGTTATATTAAATCTATTTATTATAACTTTCGTGACAATTAGCTGTAAAAACATTGATTTGTGGCAAAACATGTCTATT